CTTACGTCCATTTGGTTCTATTATCAAGGATTTCAGTTCAAGAAGATTACCAGTTTCTTTATTAAGGAAATATGAAAAGATTACTCTTCGTTTGAACAAAGCCGAATTGGATTTTAATTTTTTACATATATATATATATCATAGGAATTATTATTTGGAATAATTTACCTATTGATATTAAAGATTCTTTTGTTTGTGACAGCTGGGGCACTTTCAAAGGGAAAATTAAACATTACTTTAGACAATTTCGTACATGGGATTGTTAATTGTTTTTCCACCAACTGTTTCAATTTTTTTTATTATTTAATTTTTTAATATTTTTATATTTTTGATACAATTAATATTTATATTAGTTAATAATATTGAATTTGGAGCTGGAGGGGCACACCATATCCGGTGATAGTAGTTTTTGTACCGCTTTTGCCTCTCCTCAGCCCTCCTCTGCCCTCCTCTGCCCTCCTCTTTCTTTTTTGATTGCTTTTTGTGGTTCTGGCTGAAAGGAATAAAATAAAATTTAAAAAAATAAATAAAACTCAACTCAACTCAACTCGTCGGCATGAGCGCTCCGCGCAACTGAAAGGAACTGACCGGAACTGAACGCAACTGAAAGGAACTGACAGTCGCGCATATTTTGTCGACATGAGTCAAGTTGAGTTGAGTTGAGTTGAGTTCCTTTCAGTAGCCCATGTTCAACTTTTTGCGGAACTGAAAGGAACTGAAAAAAGCGCGAAAAAATGCTGATTCTGATTCGGAACTCAAAGGAACTGAAAACGTTGATCCTGATATTAATCGTAATCAAGATGCATTAACTGAAAAAAGATATATATTACAATGTTTTGTTAATGGCAGATAATACTTTATTCTTTGTTTTGAAAAATATAGGCCATAGGCCAGATTTTTATTCGAACACATTAACAAATAGGCCTGGGCTAGGCCTAATAATAATAATAATAATAATAATAATAATAATAATAATAATAATAATAATAATAATAATAATAATAATAATAATACAGCTTACCATTATTCTAGCTAGGCTAGGCCTAAAGTGTAGAAAAAGGCAGGCTTCCTATGCCAGGCCTACTAGCCTACGTCTAACTCTACGTACGACGAGTAAAGACTTGACAACTAACTGGCATGCAGATCTCACTTCCATAATCTATTTTTACGAATTATAAATAATCCAGTAATTCTTGGGTGTGTGCATTGTTTTTGAAGTTAGTTTTGTACAAATTCTTTAACAGTAGAACATTTATCTAGGGCCTAGGTTTAGGTCAAGAAAAGCTAAATTCCTTTTTCAGAAAGTCCCTCTGCAGTGTAGTGTTAAATTATGAATTCTATCAAAGTATGCTGCTGCATTCGCGTAATATTAAATTAGTACATTTTTATAACATATTTGACAGCTGATTCATGTAAACATTGTCACGTATAAAATGCATTCGTGTATACTTGTTGTTTTTGTTTTTGTTTTTTCATATAGAAAAAGACCTTTCTTGTTTTAATTGTTCCACCAGATTTTGCATGAACCCATTTCAAATAGACCAATATGCGATACACTTTTCTAAATTAAAAAAAAAGAGTAGATAAACTTCAAAAATAATTTTATTATTTTTAACAACACGTCATATCTTACAAGCATTCTAACATTTATTTGCAGTTGATGAGATTTCAAAGAAAATGAAATCTTTAAAAACTCAATTCTGTCGACTACAAACAGGGTTGTTTCAGTTGCTGGTCGACATTTTCAAAACAAAAAAATAAAGTAGATACACTTTTTAAAATAATTACATGTCTTAATAAAAACATTACAGACATTTCGCAGTTGATGGGATTTCGCGGGGAAAATGTTTTTAGCCAATAGTTCCTTTCAGTTGCCAGTCGACATGAGCCAAGTTCCTTTCAGTTCCGTTCAGTTCCTTTCAGTTGCTCAAAGTCGACATGAGTTCAGTTCCTTTCAGTTGCGCGGAGCGCTCATGTCGACGAGTTGAGTTGAGTTGAGTTGAGTTGAGTTCCGTGTCGACCTGAGCCTGCCTTGAGATGCGAAGTACAAAAACAAAGATCTTATAAACACAAGATAGCGTTCTCCGCGATTTACGCGTAACAAATAGAAGCGTCGGTCAAGGTTCAAAAGTTTCCAATTTAGCAAGAGGGCGCCATTCATGCGCTATTATACCAAAGAGAAAAAGCATAGAGCTATTAAACAACTAGAGTGCTGACAAGATGGTGGAACAATGCAGAGTTGTGTATGTGTACCATCCAAGATGGCTGCCGTAGGAAAGCGCCACCTTCAGGCTTAGTATGCATATTATTACCATAAATAAGCCCTCTGACTGAATATTATTTCATTAATGATAATTAATATTGATAATGACAAATTATTAAACTGTCGTAGCCAAAACGAGGCCAAGTGGAGCATCTTATTAAAAAAAAGTACCAAGGAATGAAAATTAAAATCGTGTGCATTACAGCCAAACACCGCAACGCTCGAGTTTCAAACATAACTGTACTGAACTTTCTGTGTAAATTGAGGGCACAATTGAAAATGATAGTGCTCAGGCGAAATTTGATTGGCTGAATATATGGCAGCCATCTTGGATGGTACACACACACAGCTCTGCGTATTTCGAACATCGAATACATTGCGGTTAGCGCTCTAGTATTCTTATTATATCTCTATCAAAGATCTTGTAAACACAAGATAGCGTTCTCCGGGATTTACGCGTGCAAATTCTGTAATAAGGCATGAATGGCGCCCTCTTGCTAAATTGGAAACTTTTGACCCTTGACCGCTCTTACCACACCGTACACCACGCGATTTTACCTTTAGTCAATCCTGTGAACAGCAGAAACAGGGGTAAAAAACAGGAACCATTTCAGATCCATGGCAACAGATAGGACGCCCTCTTCCAAAGCTGATTACTATTTCTCTTTGGTATAATAGCGCATGAATGGCGCCCTCTTGCTAAATTGGAAACTTTTGAACCTTGACCGACGCTTATGTTTGTTACGCGTAAATCGCGGAGAACGCTATCTTGTGTTTATAAGATCTTTGATCTTTGTACAAAAACTAATCTCTTTAGAGAGGGCGCACTTTATTGACTGTATATTATAAAGTATACATAAAAGCGAGAGTATTCCAGTGGATGCGATCTACAACCTCCTAGTAACGATGAATTCGTCGAGAAAATGGTAATATTTTATGAGAAATAGTCTGTATTTCTCTTTTTTTTTTTATTCTTTTGCGTAAAACTAAAATTCATGCCAATATTTTTCCATGATTTATAATAATTGGAGTAATGCAAATGCATATTTTCTAAAAAAAAGTCAGTGAAATTTTGCCGGGAATGGGGCTTTAACATTGTTCTGTGTACCGTATATCTTTCAATTTCAAACGAATGACCGCTGATTTTCGTGTAATTTTTGTAGTATTTCAAATGAATATGTTGTACCGTCCCACAGCTGTTGTCTTCTGAATCGGATTAAAATACTAGCCGAATTTTTGCTGATATCGAAACAAATTTTGGCCGAGTTGGCCGTGAGATGGCGTGTGTTTGGCCGTGAACAAAGATAGAGCAGCTTCAGATATGACAGCTTCCCATAGAGATATAATAGCTCTATGCAGCTTCCCAATATAGTGGAATATCCGTTCCAAAGGCATTGTGGGTACAAGGAAAGCAATTTTACCCCGGTCGCTTGCGGCGCCATATAGAAATAATAAACAGCAATAAAGGCGCCGCTCTGGTTCGTTTGTTTCAAATTTTACCCCATTCGCGGGAGGGCGGATGTTTCATCAATTTTAATACAAATACGCGGAGCAGCCATAGAGCTATTATATCTCTATGGGAGTAGCTCGTCTATGAAGCCTGTCGACTATCTGGCAACTCTGAAAATATTACCACAGCATGCATAGGCCTAGTAATATTACACCGTCAAATATGAAAAGTGTTGCCATCGTACTAATTATTTTTATAATCCAAGGTTTTGCAAACCAAGTGAGTAGCATCTGCCTAGGCTAAAGACTAGGCCTATGTTAATTAATGTAAGCACTAGGCCTAGGCTAGGCTAGGGAAGGCTAGCCTAGGTTTTGGCAAAGGGCCAACAAAGCCTCTCTTTCTTTGCAGTAGGCCTAGAGAGTTGGGCCTAGGCTACCTGTGTTAGTACCAACTAGGGGCCTAGGCTTTACGCCTAAGATTAAGAGACTAGTTAGGAACCTAGTAGTAGCGCCGTATTGTTGGTTGCATCTTGGTCGCGATTAACAACAGCTACAGAATGGAACGCCGATGTATGCACTAGTGACTAGTTTCAGAACCGAGCGTTTTGGTAAATCGCCCGTACCTAGTATTACTATTAATAGGGACTTTTAGATTGTGTGGACGTGGACCTGGTTCACGTCGACTAGTCATGCGTGTCAACGTAGTCAACTACACCTGTTGACTACAAATGAAAACCTTTTTAGAATTCAGTCGACATGTAGTGCGCGCTAGGCAACCTTATTAAGCAGCTGTCATGGCGAACCTTCATCGACTTCGCGAAATTGTCGTCTTTGCATATTCTACAGGTGTCTTGGACGATGAGGAATTCATGTTTTTATACAATACAAATAAACCCAAAAATGCCGAATTCAGGTACCGAAATTGTAATAGCTTCGATGACTATTAAAAAGTAGAATGACTCTGGGAGTAAACTTCAACACGTCTACTTTATTTCAATACATAACACAGAGTAAATCCCGCCTGAAGCGGTAATACAAATGTAGTGTCGGCACGACGCACCTTGATATTACGCGCGCACTACTATCCAGGGTATGGTTATTATGGTTACCAGTTCATGTAATAGTAAACAGTTTATGAATATCACACTCCACCGTTTAAGCATTGCAACCTATAGTGAATATTTGTAATATAGTTATAAACTTGGAACATGAACAAAATCACGGTCAGCAAGTACCAACGGGTACAACGATGCTGATTAATCATACCCAAGTCTTTTAGGGGCTTTCCTATTACACTTGGATCTACGAACAACATTGGAGTTCTCATTATTATTGTGGCCCATTACTACAACATCCTCTCTAATGCTCTCCTGAACATTAACAATAGACTCATTACTTTGACAAGTTGATACAACATCATCATTAACACTGACCATAGAATTATCATTTTTACAAGTTGGAATAACATTTTCATCATCAATTTCCTTATCATTAACCATGGAATTATCATTTTGATGCTGATTATCATCTTTCCCCCCCGGATGAACGCCTTCTCATTTGGTCTACATGTCGTCGCATGATTCTACCGTCATCAATCTTCACATCATACATTTTACTACCATCTCTCAGATGCACTACCCCGGGAAGCCAACGGTCCCCCTTGGCATAATTTTCTACAAATACCTTATCATTTACATTAAACTCCCTGACCTGGGAATGACGATCAGAGTAGTGCTTCTGTCGTTCCTGCTTTTGCATTACCCTATCATTTAGACTTGGGTGTACCATACTTAATGGTGAATGTAACATCCTTCCCATAAGTGCCTCGCAGGGTGGAACACCAGTGGTAGAATGAGGGGTAATACGATACTTAAAAAGGAACCGTGACAATTTAGTATGAGGTGAACCCTCAGCCATCTATGCAAGTCCATGTTTAACAGTTTGGACTGCTCTCTTGGCTAACCCATTAGATGATGGTTTGAAGGGGGCACTAAACAAATGCTTAATCCCATTGCGCACAATAAACTCTTTAAACTGGGCGCTAGTATAGGTTGGTCCGTTGTCACTCACTAACACTTTAGGAATACCATGAGTGGCAAATACTCTTCTGAGCACCTCGATTGTGCACTCAGCAGTTATAGAATTCATAATCACAGCATCGATCCACTTAGTATAAGAATCGACAATAATCAAAAATGACTTCCCCAAGTAAGGTCCCATGAAGTCTATGTGAACCCGAGACCACGGTTCTTTAGGGTACTCCCACATACTTAAAGGTGTTTCGGCAGGTTTATTCCTGTTAACCTGACATTTGGTACATGTGCTAACACATTTTTCCAAGTCTTTGTCAATACATGGCCACCATACATATTGTCTACTAATGGACTTCATTAATGTAATTCCTGGGTGACAATCATGTAACTCTTTAATGATGAGATTGCGGCCCTTTGCAGGAACCACAATACGGGATCCCCACAAAATACACCCGTCATGTACACTTAACTCGTCTTTACGTCTAATATAATGTCTAAACTCATCTTGTGAGTCAGGATCTGGGTTGGTCCAATTACCATACAATATGCAATGTCTAACATGTGACAAAATAGGATCTTTACAAGTCCACTTTCTGATGTCATCGGAAATTACTGGAGAGGAGGCGTCGTTGATGTGCTCCATCAACAAAACCACATCACCCGGCACGGGAATATCAATATCACCCTCAGTAATGGGTAAAGGTTTAATCTGCTTAAGCAGTCAGCTACCTCATTCTGGTTACCGGGACGATAATGCATGGTATAATTATAAGCAGCCAAAGTCAAGGCAAATCTCTGTATCCTAGCAGAGGCCATTGACGGAATACCTTTACGTTCATTAAACAAGGATTGGAGTGGCTTATGATCTGACAACAACACAAAGTGCATCCCAAACAAGTATTGGTGAAATTTCTTTACACCGAAAACACAAGCAAGACCTTCTTTTTCAATCATGCTGTAGTTGCGCTCTGCTGCAGTCAGCGTGCGCGAAGCATATGCAATAGGCTTATCAACACCATCGATGCGGTGTGCCAACACAGCCAAAATACCATAGGCTGATACGTCGCATAACAATCTAATTTCCTTAGATGGGTCGTAATGCACTAATATTTTGTCAGAACATAATAAATTCTTAGCCTCTTCGAGAGAAGCTTGCTCACTCTTTGACCAACTCCATTGAACACCTTTGCGCAAGAGTCTATTTAATGGCTCTAGCACAGTTGACACATTAGGTAAAAATGCACAATAATAATTTAAGAGTCCAAGAAATGATTTCAACTGAGTCACGTCAGTCGGTGGTGGCGCATTCTTAATCGCTTGTAATTTCTCCTCGGTTGGACTTACTCCTGTAGCAGTTACACGTTTTCCAAAGAATACCACCTCCGGTTGGTAGAAGGAACACTTCTCTTTCTTTAACCGCAAACCATATCTTGACAATCGACTCAAAACCTCATTTAGGTAATATTCAGATGCTCCTCCTTCGAGCTACCCGTTAACAATATGTCATCAGGTCGAACTACTGTGTGAGGCACTCCCTTTAACAAATTTTCGATCTGTCTCTGAAAAATTCCTGGGGCTGATTTGACCCCGAATGGTAAGCATGCGTACATGAACAGTCCCTTGTGTGTGTTTATAGTTGTATATTTCATTGACTCTTCGTCCAAAAGCATTTGCTGGTACGCGTTTGCGAGATCCAGTTTGGTGAAGTACTTGCCTCCAGCCAAACATGCGAACAAGTCCTGCTCTTTAGGAATAGGATATTTGTCTAGTGTAGACTGCTTGTTCACTGTCAACTTATAATCACCACAAATTCTTACTGTCTCACCATCCGCTTTTAACACTGGAACTATGGGTGCTGCCCATTCTGACGTTTCCACATGTTTCATGACCCCGTTTCTTACATCACGCTCCAACGC